AGTGCTGTGAAAGGCTCTTAGAGGAGTTTTGGGGTAAATCTGCTTCAGTGTTGCTTTGTCAGTGGCCTAAAGTAGATTCAGTGTTACTGTATTTTCTTATATCCCAGTACATTCTGTAGTAGTGATGTTGTCACGGTGACAGGCCTCACACCGCACTCGGCTGTTAGAGGACGATAAGAGTACTTCCTCTGTGTTGTTTCCTCTGTGTTGTACTTGATGCAGTGTTTCTTATTATTGACTCACACTTTTGTACAGCTGATAGATTCCCACCTGACCTCTGACCTCTGCCCTCTGCCCGCAGGTGTCGTTGGTCCGGATGCCGTACGCCTGTAAACTTCTGTTCCAGGAGCTCATGTCCATGAGCATCGCTCCTCGGATGATGACGTCATAAACTCACCGGCCAATCACAGCCCTGGACTCTAGTTTAAGTTTGTTTTTATTGTTTATTTTTGATCCATGTGAATAAAACAGTTTTTGAAATAATGAGTGAATCGTCTTTGTGATGATTGTTGTAAAGTTTCCACCTGTAATCAGACTGAACCACAGTCCGACACTGCGCCGGGTTTGACCTGACAGAGACCAGAGCACAGGGAGGGAAACACAAACACTGTTAAAATATGATTAAAAAAAAACGAGTTCATTCGTCCTGACTCTTGATTTCAGGGTTAAACAGGAACTTTGGTCCAGTGTTACTTAATTAACATTTCCAAAACTGTTAGTAGTAGTTTTATTTGGTCATTTTGCAGCACAACAAATCAAAACAAAAAACAAAACACTGCAACCACATGGATCATGACTGAAAGGGTTTAGGCTGAAGTAAAAAAATATTTATAAAGCCTAAACAGAATTCCAAGAAAAAAAAAGCCTGAACAGTATGAACAGAAAGTTTACATTTATAATTTCACTTACAACTTACTGTAAATATAAGAGACAAAATATAAAGTAATTCCAGAGCTCTGTATCTTTCAAAACACTTTATACTCTAAACTCCTGCCAACGACAAACACAATGTAAAAAATAAAAAAGCACATTTCTCGAAAAGGAGCAGGAAGAAGAAAAACTTAGATTAACTCACCTCATTCATGATAAACTTTAAAAAATTATGTTGTTGCTTATGCACATTGATCACTGAACTTTCCAAATATTTACATATCACAAAATAAATTCCATACTAGGTCTAAACCAGGACTAAACTAAGACTACATCAGGAATAAACCAGAACTAAACTAAGACTGAACCAGGACTACATCAGGTCTAAACCAGGACTATAACAGGACTAAACTAAGAATAGGCCAGGACTAAACTAAAACTAAACTAAGACTGAACCAGGACTAAAACATGATTAAAACAGGACTAAAACAAGACTAAAACAGGACTAAACTACATTAAGACTAAACCAGGACAAAATCAAGACTAAACAGGACTATATCAGGTCTAAACCAGGACTAAACTAGGACTACATCAAATTTAAACCAGGACTAAACTGAGACTGAACCAGGACTACATCAGGACTAAACCGGGACTAAACTAAGACTAAACCAGGACTAAAACAGGACTAAACTAGGACTAAACTAAGACTAAACCAGGACTACATCAAATCTAAACCAGGACTACATCAGGTCTAAACCAGGACTAAAACAAGACTAAAACAGGACTAAACTACATTAAGACTAAACCAGGACTAAATCAAGACTAAACCAGGACTATATCAGGTCTAAACCAGGACTAAACTAGGACTACATCAAATTTAAACCAGGACTAAACTGAGACTGAACCAGGACTACATCAAATCTAAACCAGGACTACATCAAATCTAAACCAGGACTAACACTAAACCAGGACTAAAACAAAGGACTAAACCAGAAAACATCAGGTCTAAACCAGGACTAAACCAGGACTACATCAGGTCTAAACCAGGACTAAACAAAGACTAAACCAGGACTACATCAGGTCTAAACCAGGACTAAACCAAGACTAAACCAGGACTACATCAGGTCTAAACCAGAACTAAACCAGGACTACATCAGGTCTAAACCAGGACTAAACAAAGACTAAACCAGGACTACATCAGGTCTAAACCAGAACTAAACCAGGACTACATCAGGTCTAAACCAGGACGAAATAAAACCCTTGAAAAAATGTTAAAATTAATTCTGTAAGAGTCAGTTCTGAAAAATAAAATAAAATAAAAAAATAATAAATAATAATAATAATAATAATAATAATAATAATAATAATAATAAAAACACATAAATACATAAATATATAAATAAATAAATACAAATAAAAAATAAATAAACATAAACAGAAGGTTCCAGTGCTGTACCGCGTGTGTCCGGCAGGTGGCGGTGTTAAACTGGCCTCGTCTCTTCCAGCCGGAGCGTCTTTCCTTCCGGATCAGTGGATGTAAACAGCGGAGACAGTCGGGGACATCGGGGGAGACATGACCAAACTGGACCTGCTCAACGTGTTCCTGAACGAGCGTCTGTCCGCCGCGGCGCAGGACATCTTCCGCGCGGTCAAGGACACGGTGGCGGAGTACCAGGGCGAGCTGCTCCGGGCCCGGGAGGAGAACCAGCGGCTCCGACAGCTCCTGGACGCGGCGGTGCAGCGGCTCCTCCTGCGGCCAGGTGAGCGGCGACTGCGCGGCTCGGTCCAGACACCCGGAGGAGGAGGAGGAGGAGGAGGAACCGGACCGGGATCTGGGTCAGGACCAAAAACCGGGCTTCAGGTGTTTCCTCAGAGCTTCAGGTTCAGGTTCAGGTTCATGTTCATGTTCGTCCCAGATGTGCAGACTGTCACGAACATCTGGAGCGTCCACCTGTGCACGCGCGGAGGAGGAGGCCGGTGTGTCCGGTTTTACGCACAAGAAAACGAGGACTAAACCAGGATTTAACCAGGACTAAATCAGGGCAGAACCGGGACTAAACCAGTACTAAACCAGGACTAAATCAGGACTTGAACAGGGCTGAACAAAGACTAAATCAGGACTAAACCAGGACTAAACCAGGACTAAATCAGGACTGAACCAGGACTACATCAGAACTACATCAGAACTACATCAGGATCAGGACTACATCAGGACTGAACCTGGAATAAACCAGGACTAAACCTGGACTGAACCTGGACTAAACCAGGACTAAACCAGGACTAAACCTGGACTAAACCTGCAGGACTAAAACCAGGACTAAATCAAGTCTGGACTAAACAAGGACTAAATCAGGGCAGAACCAGGACTACATCAGAACTACATCAGGACTAAACTGAACCAGGACTGAACCTGGAACTAAACCAGGACTAAACCTAAACAGGACTAAACCAGGACTAAACCAGGACTAAACCAGGACTAAACCAAAACCTGGACTAAACCAGGGCAGAACCAGGACTAAACTAGGACTACATCAAGTCTAAAGCAGGACTAAACTGGGACTAAACGAGGACTGAACCAGGACTACATCAGGACTAAACCAGGTCTAAAACAGAACTAAACTAAGACTAAACCAGGACTATGTCAAGTCTAAACCAGGACTAAAACAGGACTAAAGTAAGACTAAACCAGGACTAAACCAGTTTAAACCAGACTAAACCAGGACTTAAACCGACTAAACAGGACTAAACCAGGACTAAACCAGGTCTAAACCAGGACTAAACCAGGACTAAACCAGGACTAAACCAGGACTATCACGGTTTGTGTCTAATCTCATCCTCGCCAAAACTAAACAGGAGCATAAATGATCAATTGTTTTGCCAAAAAACAGAAACCTGTGTTTGTGTGAAGATGCAGGAATCTTTAGGGAGTTTATATGTTCATAAATCATGTAAAATAAATAAATAAACAGTAGTTCTCATTGATTAAAACAGATTTGCTGAATATTGTTGCACAGAACAGTTAAAGACCCTGGATTCTTTTCTAATCGATGTTCTGATGTCGTTTCCTCATCACAAACGGACCTGAATATTTAGACCCAGATCTTCTCTCAAACAGAAAACACTCTGTTCCACCTTGTGATGTCATCATGTGGTGTTACGGGAAGTGCTCCATTGTGTTTTTAAACTCCGCACACCTTCACTAGAATCATCTGGATCATTTAAGCGTCTGTTTACACGAGAACATTTGCGGGTAAAAACGACAAAATATTTGATCAGAAGTGTCTTTAGTTTAGACGGTGATGGTGTTTTTGGGCCTTAAAAACGCAAAAATCTGAAACCAGCCTCCAGAGTGTAAAAGTTGAATACTATCCTTCGTAGAGTTTCCGTCTACACTGCCCAAGACGGAAAACTCTGGTCAGATCTGCTCAGGTCGTGTACGCGTTTATGTCACAAACATACAGAACACAGAAACCTGACATGCAAACACAATCGAATTCTACACACTTTTGCGTCGCCGTACGCAGCAGATTTCCTCCCGAAAACACTCGACTAAACGTGGAACAAAAAGCGAAGACGCGATGCCACTTTTGCGTCTTCAGTTCAGACCGTCATCAGCGGGTTTCACTTCGTATAAACCGTCTGACCTCGCAGCATTGGGATTCGTTCACTCGACAGTCGGCGGGTAGTTTTTTTATTTCACCAGTCGCTGCTGTTTGGTCGTGTCGTCTGTAATGCGCCGCTAACGAGGATAACTGGTATATTGAGCTTTTCCCAAATCCCGTAGGAAGAAGGACAATAACGTCTTTCCCTTTGATAAAATTCACCAAACATTCTCTTTGTACCGACTTTAATTTCTCGATCTGGGGAATTGTTGACAACACAGAATGTCTGACTTTTCTCTGATTAACTGGTGCCTGAACTCACACTTCTGGGGTTTTTACAAATCGTCTAGTGTTTTCTGATTCCTGATCGAGTCACTGGAGAGAAATTAAATTACACAGAGGCACTAGGTGGTGTGAGCCTGGATAGCACTGTTGGGCAAGTTACTTTAAAAACGTAATGTGTTATTTATTACTTATTACTGTCATTTCAAAGTAATTTGTTACATTACAATATTACTGCATTTAAAATGTAAGGCATTACATTACTATTGCATTACTTTAAGTTACTCTCACCAAAATAACTGCGAAGATGCTGAACTTTTGCGCCATATATGGACTGAACCAGGACTAAACCAGGTCTAAACCAGGTCTAAACCAGGACTAAACCAGAGCTGAACCAGGACTGAACCAGGACTAAACCAGAACTGAACTAGGACTAAAACAGGACTAAAACAGGACTAAACCAGAACTAAACCAGAACAAAACCAGGACTAAACCAGAACTGAACTAGGACTAAAACAGGACTCACTGTCGGGACGGGCTCGGAAGGTGACGCAGGAGAAAGGAGCGGCTCTGCTCCGCACCTCATGGAGGTAAGAGCGGCTGTCGCCCGATCGCTCTTTATGGACTCTGCTGCTCGGGCTCGCGGCCCTGATTTCAGCAACTATTTGCAGGTACCCGACCCGTGTAAGACTCTGCTACAGCGAGTAACTTCTACCTTCCTTCAACGTGTCCAGAAGTCCAACTTTTTGTGCGATAGTGAGCATCTTCCTCTGCCTTTTGGGTGCGAGCGCAGAAGCCTTTGTCAGTGCAGAACGTTTTGTCGACGTTGTGGGTTTTGTCGGAGAGAAAACTTGCAAACATACAGCACTTCGGACGACTGTAAACCAGGTCTAAACCAGAACTGACCCAGGTCTTAACCAGGTCTAAACAGCGTAGAGTTCTGTGTCGGTCCTTTCACCCGCTGTTACCTGAAGGTCTACTCGGCCACGTCTCCGGTGTTTCCCCGCTGCTGATATCGCGGTGATTTTAGCAAATTTGTATGAAGAAAAACACACCACTTCGATCCAGGTTAAAAAAACATTGTAACGCGAGTTACTCACATTTGTAAAATATTACAATTTTTTCCCCTGTAATGCCGAACATTACTGCGTTACAGCAAAAAGCAATGCGTTACTGTAATTCGTTACTTTTATAACGCGTTACTCCCAACACTGCTGGATAGACACATGGAGCCTCAGCCCTGGAACTAACAATCTCAACTGAACTAAAGGTAAAAGGAGCTGTTCACTTGAAAACTACTGTTTCATGACATCACAAGGTGGAACAGAGCGTTTTGAGGTTTGCAGATGGAGACAGACTCAAACATGTGAATGAAACAAAAACAACTCCAGGTTTGTTTCTGAGGAGGGAACAGCACGACTTGAAGCTCACAGGGCTCAGTTTTGTTTCATATCGGAGCTTTTTAAATCTTTTTAATCTTTTTACCAACTCCATCTTGGTAAGAGTTCAACCTCACTGTGATGAATTTTCAACTTGAGAGATGAACATCACCACAGCGGTTTGTCAAAGCCTGATCCCGTCAGATCTCAGAAGCTCAGGTCCAGGTCTGGTCAGGACTTTGGATGGAGACACTGGGAAAATCAGGAGCCAAAGGAGACACCAGTTGTTGTGTCCTTAGGCAAGACACTTCACCCACATTGTCTAGTATGAAAGTGGTGTGTGTGTGTGTTGATGATGGTGCAGATTGGCAGCCTCACTTCCGTCAGTCTGTCCCAGGGCAGCTGTGGCTACAGTAGTAGTCTTACAACCACAGAGTGTTGAGTGAATGAATAAGGATCTTAAAGGTGCTGTATATAAATGCAGTGATTAATGACTGAATTATTGATCTGTGATTGTGTTTCTTGTGTTTGTTGTTTGTGTGCAGAGTCTCAGTCGGAGGCGTCTCCCGCGGGCGCCGAGCGTCTGGGGCACGAGTGGCGCTGCGCCGTGGAGCAGGCGCCTCTGGTCAAAGTGGAGCCCGCAGAAGAAGACCAGAGCTCGGCCTGCGAGTCGCCGCCCGCGCCCGTCCAGATCAAGACGGAGCGGAGCAAACAGGAGGCGGGCGCGGAGCACACGTCGCCCGCGCACACGCCCACGCACGCGCACACGCCCACGCACACTTTAAGCAGCCTCTGTCCCACCGGCAGCGGGCACGGCGCCAACCCCGCCCGCGCGCCGCCGTCCCGCCGCTCCCCCGAGCCCGTGCCCGGCCTGCACCGCTGGCACAGCTGCGTGGAGTGCGGCAAGAGCTTCAGTTTCGCGTGCCAGCTGGAGGTGCACATGCGCTGGCACACCAAAGAGAAGCCGTACCTGTGCACCGTGTGCCGCAAGAGCTTCACCACGGTGAGCATGCTCAAACGCCACCACCGCATCCACACCGGAGAGAAACCCTTCCACTGCCACGTCTGCGGGAAGAGCTTCAACCAGTCCGCCCACCTCAACACCCACTTCAGACTGCACACGAGAGAGCACCCACGAGAGCACCCACGAGAGCACCCGCGAGAGCACCCGCGAGAGCACCCGCGAGAGCACCCGCGAGAGCACCCGCGAGAGCACCCGCGAGAGCACAGGGACCCCCGGGGCAGAGGGGGGCGCCGCAGCTCTGCCCTCTGTAAATGACTCATGAAAATGGAGCTTTTGTTTGTGTTTAGTCTCTAGTTTCTTGTTCTGTTGGTCTCGTGTGGCTGTGGAATAAAAACGTCCAAATGTCAAACGCGTCTGAGTTTCACCTGGATTCACTGAGTTTTACAAACCGACGCCCTCCGTGTTTTCTCATCAGGTGCTTTTCAGGGTTTGTCACTGTTCGAGGCAGGCGAGGGTGAGAAAACGCACAGCACACACGGACGGCCGATGTCCAAAAGCTTTTTTATTAACAAAATAACGTTTCGGCAACAGGCGAGTTTCATTGTTGACAAAAGCGCGCGTTGCATGCTGGGAATTATTTTGGTCGGCGGCAAGAAACACTAATTCAACATGACGGACGGAGCGAGAAAACACGTAAAGGGTATTGATCCTGGTTATTTATCCACTCTAACGGCAGAGGACCCAAGACCATTTGACCAGAAATTGGTCATAAACATCCACGGAGCCAAATCACCCTTTTCAACCCCGACAAAAGGTGGAACAAACCAAATTTCTGGTCAGAATCACCAACTACCTGGACAAATATTCACTTGGGCGATATCCACAATGACTTGGTGGAAACTCCTGGGCCATTCACAGCAGAAAAGATGAAAACCTCCAAGAGTCTCGATGTGTTGTTGAACTTGTTGGAGTCCGCGGTTTGTTAGGATCTTCTACGTTTGCTCTGCGGATGTTTGAAAGTCGTTTAATTCACCGTTAGCGGTTCTTTTCACTCAGAATACGTGTTTCTATTTGTGCATCCGATAATGCAGCAGGAATTTACCGTTATCGGGGAGAAATACGCGAGGTTACGCACTGTGTTTGACGCTATCGTGTTTCTTGCCTCTGACCAAAATATTTCCCAGCAGCAACGCGGGCTTTTAATAACAATGACGTCAGCTGAAACTCGCCTGTAAAAGCCTTCGTCAGATATCTTTCTTGTCTTGGACCACAGCACACAAAATAGTTGCCAGCCCAGGTGCCCATATCCCCCTTCAATGACTGGGAGGTCCCAGAGTGAGGTCACCCAGTCTCTTTGGGACCGAAACGTTATTTTGTTAATAAAAAATCTTTTGGGCATCGGCCAGTCGAGTGAGCTGTGCATTTTCTCACCCTTGTCTGGCTGCTTGTTGCATTTGCAGCTCTACAAGACCTTTTTGGTGTGTGTTTTCTGTTTCTTTTGGTTACTGTTCAAGGCAGGAACACGTCGACTTTTGCATTTGTTTTTACACAAAAGTCATGTCTTAAGAAATAATTCAATTATTTTGTCCCGAACAGAGGGAGAAGTCACAATATATCACTGTCCACACCTGTACACACACACACACACACACACACACACACAGATCTTTAGACTTGTTCATAAAGTGGTGAGAATGATGGAAAGTCAGGCCTGGTCTGTGTTCTTCCAGTAACATTGTGCTGTTTTGTTTTCTTTAGGTTTGTTGAGGTTTGTTGCTCTTCACTTGTGTCAGGGTTGTGCAAATATTCAATAATCTTCTGAAATAAAGTCACGTGTTTTGACAGAGTGACAGATGGAAGAAGAAACCCGAGGCTCTGATATGTTTAAACTTCTATGTGCTTTTTATTATTGTAAAATTATTATTTTTGTATTTCAGTGTCGAGTTTCGACGTCATCAGGTCACGTGACACGAAGAAACCTAAAACAAAATATTTCATTGTTTTGTTGTCAGATATGTTCTGCAGTAACATGTGCCGCCTGTAGTTTGTTTCATGTGAAGGTGAATCAGCAGGAAACAGCGGGACGTGATGAAAACAGAGTCTGAACTTTAATGCGCAGGACGCACAGACGCTCGTGTCGGTGAGTTGTGTGTCTGTGTCTGTAGTTTGTCTGTAGTTTGTCTGTAGTTTGTCTGTTGTGTGTTTGTTGTGTGTTTGTAGTTTGTGTGTCTCAGGGTGGAGGGTGAAGGAGACGAGCCCAGTGGAGCCGCGTGCACACGCACGTGCACGGACACGCACACCGGAACATCAGCTGACCGTGCGCGCTGACGCGTGCGCGTGCAGACGCTGTGCGGACGCGCGCGGAGGAGGATGGAGCAGCATCGCGGCGGGGAAAGGTGCGCTCTGACCGGAGGGACCCGGAGCACCGGAGGAACATGGCCGCGAGCGCGAGCACAGGTGAGTGCGCCGGGTTTTCGCACGAGGACACACTTGTCTTTCCACGCACGCGGCAGTTTGGCACGCGGGTGCGTGGATGTGGGCGCGAGGCGGTTGTTATGGTGTTTGGAGACGCGCGGCCGCGCCTCGCGCTGCGCATCTTCTCCGATCACAGATTGTCGCGGCTCTGCGCAAACAGCGCGCGGCTCCGCTAGACAGAGCCGCACACGGACGGACGGGCGCAGAGTTTTACCGCAGTGGGTGTCTGGAAGAGGCACTGCGGACACGCGCCTGGGCCGGGACACGCGCCTGGGCCGGGACACTGGGCTGGGCCTAAACCGCAGGGCGCACGCGGCACTGACACCGGCCCAAGGACAGAGCCTCACCGGGACACCGCATCCTCCGGAACCACCGCTCCTGCGTGACCTTGTGGCTCCAGAGCCACGTGCAGAGCCGCAGGGGCTCACCGTGTGAGAACTACAAGTCCAGACTCACCGTGTGAGAACTACAAGTCCAGACTCACCGTGTGAGAACTACAAGTCCAGACTCACCGTGTGAGAACTACAAGTCCAGACTCACCGTGTGGAAACTACAAGTCCAGACTCACCGTGTGGAAACTACAAGTCCAGACTCACCGTGTGAGAACTACAAGTCCGGAACTACAAGTCCAGTCCGGTAATAAGTCCAGGTTAGGCCTGAGCTTCAGCTTCATCAGACCCGGAGCTTTTCTCTGGTGAATCTGAAACATGTGGAGGCTCCAACAAAACAACAAAACATCAACACCAGCGTCCTGACGATACAGTATCGATATAATATCGGCACATGCAATGAACGGGACGTGATGCCACTTTAAACCTCTGTGTGTGTGTGTGCCTCTGTGTGTGTGTGTGTGTGTGTGTGTGTGTGTGTGTGTGTGTGTGTGTGTGTGTGTCTGTGTGTGTGTCTGTGTGTGTGTGTGTGTGTGTGTGTGTGTGTGTGTGTGTGTGTGTGTGTCTGTGTGTGTGTGTGTCTGTGTGTGTGTCTGTGTGTGTGTGTGTGTGTGTGTGTGTGTGTGTGTGTGTGTGTGTCTGTGTGTGTGTGTGTGTGTGTGTGTGTGTGTGTCTGTGTGTGTGTGTGTGTGTGTCTGTGTGTGTGTGTGTGTGTGTGTCTGTGTGTGTGTGTGTGTGTGTGTGTGTGTGTGTGTGTGTGTCTGTGTGTGTGTGTGTGTGTCTGTGTGTGTGTGTGTGTGTGTGTGTGTGTGTCTGTGTGTGTGTGTGTGTGTGTGTGTATGTCTGTGTGTGTGTGTGTGTGTCTGTGTGTGTGTGTGTGTTTCTTTTAAATACTCAGCTACATTTACTCAAGTAACTTTTTGAGAGCTTGTACTTTTACAGTAGCAGTGTACTTTTACTCGTACTTGAGTAATCTTTATTGAAGTAACAGTACTCTTACTTGAGTAAAAGTTGTGCTTCCAGTTTGAAAACGCCACATCTTTGACTTACTTCATGGTTTGTAATTCCAGTTTCTTCCATTTCAGTTTATAAATGAGATTTTTACTTCTAGTAGTTTTTCTTTCATACTTTTTTAGTCTTACTTGAGTCATTTCCAACATCTACTACTTCTACTTGTGTAACATTATTTTAGTGTAGTGTTACTTTTACTTGAGTACATTTGTTGGCTTTGGGTTTTTAGGCCCGAGCCCCGACAGGGCGTAGGGCCTATTGCTTCCGCTCAGCGGAGCGAATGGGACGGGACGTGCGCATGTCCGAATGCGACAAGACGACATGCAACTATGTCCACGGTCGCCCCCGGCACCAACAGCAGTATCCCAGTAACCCACGCCCAAGGCCTGAGCCATATTTACTACTGCTAAAATGAATGGAAGTCAATGGGAGGTCGGGGGCCGACCCCGACGAGATGGTCCAGACGCACCCGTCACTCACCAATGACCCCACGGTGACGTGGGGAAGGTCCAGAGCTTTCAAAAAACGTATAATATGTTGTCCTAATGTTTTCGGATATATTGTTTTTGCTCGAATTATTGAAATTATGAAATTTGAAACATTTGTTAAACTCTCTGCCCTGAAGCTACTTCATGTGAAAATTATTAATTTGGTGCATTAGCGCCCCCTATAGATTGAAACAAAATTTAATATGGAAAAAATTCATTTGCTCCCAAATAGTTGCTCAAAAATTTCTGAAATTTTGCACAAAATTCCATTTTGGCATCCTGATCCAAAAGTCAATGACACCCATGTCATATTTTTTATGGCGTTGCCATAGCGATGGCATAAACTCTCCATTGGTAAAATCTACTAATTCTGGCACAAAACGTTGGCCAATTCCACTCAAATTTGAATCGTTGATTGACACTCCGACCCTCAACACATTTATATAAGAAAATCTCAGATGGGCGCTATAGCGCCCCCTAGGGAAATTGCATGGTAGTGCAAACATTTACTTTGTTGTACACATATAAAATTTGGTACACAGATTCATGACATGGTCTTGATCAAAAAAAGTCAATGACGACCCCATGCCGTTTCCCATCGTGTTGCCATGGCGACAGGCCAAATATCTGCCCTTGCCAATAGGCCCAACAAAAACTTTGGCGTAGCCAAACCAAATTTGGTACACAGATGCATCATGGGAATAGGAACAAAAAAGTATATTACGCGGTTGCTAGGCAACCAACAGGAAGTCGACCATATTGGATTGATCGAGCGACCTGTCCTCGTACTTGAACGAACTCGTCCTTGGGCGTTTGACCCAGACAGAATCATTCTGTATCATCTAGACAAGTGGGACATTAAAAGTTGTTAAAAGCTTTTTAAAAGGTCACACGGTGTTGCCGTGGCAACGGTGCAAATTTCAGGTTTGTTTTTGGGGCTCACCATCAAACTTCAACGAGTGATAATTTGCACAAACTTTGGCCGATTTCACTCAAATTTTAATCATGAGTTCACACCTCAACCCTGAACAGATTCATGT